TTCAGCACTGGATTTGTTCGCCATCACAGGGAAACTTCACTGCTCTGATACCATGATAAGTTGATGAAGAAGGAGATTCTAGAACTTGGAGAGAAAAGAAAATGGCGGGAAAAATTTTGTTATTCACTTCTCAATTCCAAAATGATACAGATACACGAGTGTATATATATACATGGCTGCAGGTGCTAAGACTCAAATAGAATGTGTGCAATGACTTAAATACCCCTATGTTAACATGACTTAATAGTCTAAAGCTCAAATAAGCAATTGGATTTCAATATTGCTTAATAATTTTCGAGGTTAAGATGGAACTCCTAGATGAAAATAATCATAAGCAAAACTATAGAAGCTTGATGACTTCAATCAAACGGGTGTTGAGCACTAAAACGGCAAAATACTCCCCAAAGTATAGAAAACTATATAATATCAACTGACCCTTAAATTTTGTTATATATTTATAGTATAAATATAAAATGTGAAAGAAATAATCAAATTAGATGAAATGTCCAAGTAGTGAGAAATGTGGCATTTGTGTGGAACGTCAGGGGTTCGAATCACTCCCTACGCAATTATTAAAAAGTCTTGATTGAGGCCTTGGGCTCTTGGACTCTTGGGCTTCCTTAACCAAAATAATTTTTTTATTATTTTATTTATTTTCGAAATTATTTAGCAGATCAAACTAGCCATTATTTTCTGACCATATTTTGTAATAACCCACTACTCACAGTCATTAAAATACCCACTACTGACAACCATTAACATTCTGTATTATTCTCTAATCATGGATGGGACAGTTACTTTCAGTTTTGCCTATAAAACTCATGTCTTGGTTTGGGAAAGACACACACCAAATGGTGTAGCTAGGAAAAAATCGAACTCTTAAGGATATGTTCATATCAGTGCTAAACTCTTCTAGATTACCTTTTAACATGTGGGGGAGAAACACTTCTTTCTGCATGTTATATTATTAACAGAATTCCTAATAAGAAAAATAATAAGTCCCCTTATGAAATGTGGAATGACAAGACACCTTCATATAAATATCTTAAAGTGTGGGGGTGTTTAGCTAAAACTTTTATTCCAGCACCTAGGAGAACTGAACTTGATCCGAAAGCTGTTGATTGTGTCTTTATAGGCTATGCTCTTCATAGTAATGCCTATAGATTTTTAGTCATTGACTCTAAAAATAATTTGATAAAAAAGAACACAATATTTGAAACTAGAGATGTTGAATTTTTTAAAAATAGATTTTCGTTTAAAGAAAAGTCTGAAAGACCAAGCAGTTCTTTTAGTATTCCTCCTAGTGTTAGAGAGGAGCCATCTGAATTAGAAGAAGTTGAAATTAGGAGAAGCAAAAGACCTAGGACCAGTACTTCTTTTGATCCTGACTTTATAACCTACTTAGTAGAGGATGATCTTAGTACTTTTGATGAAGCTATGTCTTCACCAGATTCTATACTTTGAAAGGAAGCTGTAAATAGTGAATATGATTTAATTATGTCTACTAATACTTGGGAGTTAGTTGACTTACCTCAAGGATGTATGGGTGTAGATGGTTGTTTAAGAAAAAACTTAAACCTAATGGTTCGATTGATAAGTTTAAAACAAGACCTGTAACCAAAGGCTATAGACAAAAAGGAGTTGACTTCTTTGATACTTATTCACCGGTTACTAGGATTACCTCTATTAGGATGTTAATTGCATTTGCTTCATTGTATGATCTTATTATGCATCAAATGGACTTCAAAACTGTAATTTTAAATGGAGACTTAGAAGAGGAGATTTATATGAATCAGCCTGAAGGATTTGTTGTAGAAGGCCTTGAGGATAAAGTATGTTGACTTAAAAAATCCCTTTATGGCTTTAAACAAGCTCTTAAGTAATAGCACGAAAAATTTGATACAATTTTGACATCAAGTGGTTTTGTAATAAATGAAGCAGATAAATGCATATATAGCAAATTTGAAAATAATTGTGGTGTGATAATTTGTTTATATGTTGATGATATGCTGATTATGGGAACTAGTGTAGATGTGGTTAATAAAATTAAACAATTTTTGAACAAACGCTTCGAAATGAAAGATTTAGGTATTGCTGATATTATTCTAGGAATCAAAATAATAAAACATTCTGAAGGAATTATTTTGACCCAATCATATTATATAGAAAAGGTGCTTAAGAAGTTTAACCAATACAAATGTATTCCTGCTAAAACACCTTATGATACAAGCCGTCATTTGAGAAAACATTCAGGTCCTAGTGTTTCCGCTTTAGAGTATGCTAGAGTGATCGGTAGTCTCATATATCTCATGAACTGTACAAGACCTGATATAGCATGTGCTGTCGGTAGACTTAGCATGTATACTGGTAATCCTAATAGTGAACATTGGGATGCTCTCATTCGAGTCTTGAGGTATTTGAGATATACTCTAGACTAAGGAATACAATATACCAAATTCCCTACTGTACTTGAGTAATATTGTGATGCTAATTGGATTTCTGATACCAATGAAAGTAAATCTACAATTGGATATATATTTACATTAGCAGGCGTTGCTGTATCTTGGAAATCCACTAAACAAACATGCATTGCTAGATTTACTATGAAATCTGAGTTCATAGCCTTAGATAAGGCAGGTGAGGAGGCTGAATGGTTAAGGAATTTTCTTATGGATATTTCTTTGTGGTCTAAACCATTTCCAACTATTTCAATCCATTGTGACAATCAAATAGCTTTTTCAAGAGCTCAACATTCATTCTACAATGGAAAATCTAGACATATTCGTAAAAGGCACAATACCGTGCATCAACTGCTTAAGGATGGGATTATAGCTATTGACTATGTGAAGTCAAGTGATAATATTGCTGAACCATTGACCAAAGGATTAGCTAGAGAGCTAGTTCAAAAAACATGGAGGAGGATTGGGCTAAAGCCTATTACATAATGATCACCTATAACAGAAACCCAACCTTGCAATTGGAAATTCCATGGTCTAGGTTCAATGGGACAACATAGCTATTGGAGTGGTCTATGGGCGTACTACATTGGATTTATTCCAAACCCCTCCTGATGATGCGTAGTATCAACTGTATTGATTAGAGGATGAGCTAATGCTCTTAAAATTTACTATAGCTGATATTTAGTGGGGTATTTAGATAGAGTGCACCCTTAATAGCAGCACCTATTTGAGTGTGGAAGTGGGGCCGCTTCCTATGAGAATTGAGACGAATTCTCTAAAGCATTCAAAGAAAATTGGGAAAGTTCAAGGCTGAAATGAACACAATCGCGAGAACTCAATAATTGTTCTTGAAATCATGTGTGTTTTGTTGTCTCAGTTTGCAACTATAATTGTAGAGTTCAAAACATAGTTCACTCTACAGCTAGCAAGCTCGATAGGATATACAAAGTCAAGGTTCAAGTCAGTAGATACCTAAGCCTACATGATTTCTATCGTACTCTAGAGTAATATTTTCATTTATCTTATTTATTTTATGTGGGGGATTGTTATATATTTATAGTATAAATATAAAATGCGAAAGAAATAATCAAATTAGATGAAGTGCCTAAGTAGTGGGAAATATGGCATTTGTGTGGGACGTTAGGGGTTCGAATCATTCTCCACGCAATTATTAAAAAGTCTTAATCGGGGCCTTGGGCTTTCTTGACTAAAATAAATTTTTTTATTATTTTATTTATTTTCGAAATTATTTAATGGGTCAAATTAGCTAGTATTTTTTTTTATCTTTTTTGTAATAACCTACCACTCACAATCATTAAAATACCCACTACTCACAACCATTAACATTCTGAATTATTCTCTGATCATGAATGAGACAGTTACTTCCAGTTTTGCCTATATAAACTCGTGTTTTGGTTTGGGAAAGATACATATCAAAGAAAACAGAAAATCTTTTGAAAAGAAATCTTATTTCTCATATTTTGAATTTTTATACTCGATTTTTACATATATTTTGGAGTACCTTTGAGAATTCTGAAAACCATTCGTAACTGCTGCACAAGTGGTTTACGATTGTTGTATCTTGGGAGTGATTGTCCACAGAGGTCGCAGCAGTTATCGACGGACAATTTGTATAGACATTACCTCGACAATTTGCTGAACTTCACGAGTTCAATAGCAGATAGAACGTATTTGAGACAGTAAATAATCGTTCGTTAATATTCCGCCGACTTTGTGTTTATGAATGAAGCGAACAGAGAAATGAGATTAGTAGTAGAAATTACATTTTTATTTTATTATTATTATTATTTTTTTTTTTTTGAGAGAAGAAATTACACTTTTTAAAATTTGAAAATAGAAATCTATTCTCAACTTTGAAAAAAATAAGAAAATTATTTTGAAGTTTAGTTATAAAAAACTTTTTAGCTTAGCCAGTAACGAATACAGAGAAACATACCTAGAAGAAAAAAATATTGTGCCTTTTAACAAAATTCGTATTCGTTGTTATTCAACTCTTCATATATAATTTTTGTATTTAGTTATAAGTTTCATTTTATTTATTTTTTTAAGAAAAGAGATTACTCTTTATTAATTTGAAATAGAACTTTATCCTCAACTTTGGAAAAAATAATAATATTTTTTTGAAAGGTTGTTGTTAGTCATAAGAAACTTTTTACGCTTAGCCAGTGAAGAATAAAGAAAAATGGGATCGTCTACTCATAAATTTGACCTACTTATGTGAGAACTAATTGTATCTTATAATTTAAGTCAATCCAAAGCTTAACAAATGATTTGTTTAGCATGAATTTTGAGAAGAGAGTTCAATTGTTCGAGTTAAAACAAGTTGGTCGGCTGCGGGTCGATAATTTATTTTTAAGATTTATTTGTGAATTGTCTATTGTAAGAAACTTAACGTCAACAAAGGACTAATATGATCAGTCCACATTTTAAAAACCAATAAAATTTTATTTTCGAAAAATATTTTCCAAAATATTAAATACTTAGACGTTACAACTATAACACAGTATTAGAAAAGAATAATAACAATAAGTTCAAACATGTGTCATGAATATATCTTCAGTGTATATTGGTAGGGACTAGAAATCATAACATAGTACTCTGAAGTAATAAAAACACGTCCAATAATGCGTATTAAGACTATAACTCTCCACCTCAGACACCCATTATTGTACGCATTTATGTAAAAAAGGAAAAAAAAATTGACTTCTTCGACCGATACTCCAAGAATGTCTCCACAGAACACAATTAATAAAATGATTTTACGACTTCTGACCAGATTATTTTCCCCAAGCTTCACCTTCCTCATCTTATCCTCTGAAGTTTGAAAGTAGAAATTTATCTACCTCAATTCAGCTTCAGGTCCTTTATTCTTGTGGCACAAATCCATTGCCTCGGGGTCTCAAGATCGTCTCCAGTTACGGTTGGAATGTGCCAACTGCCCTGTTCAGACTCCTGCATTTCACTCAAAATTTGTAAAGCATAAATGAGACTTCATACACGAGACATCATCAAAATGCCATCATTGGTATGTCACTTACCTGAATGACAATTGAATAAGGTGGTGGCATGCGGAACTGGAGTCCATCACTGGAAGGAGTTAACCTGACCTGCCAATTTTCAGTAGAATCATAAGAATGTAAAGATCAACATTTTCATCCGGGAAACTGCTTTTAGGGCCCCGTTTGATTGGAGGAGTTGGAAATGTGGATTTCAAATCCACAAGTACAAACAACGTTTCTGAACTAGTGCCTTGAGTGCATTATAGACTGTGTAAGTATGTATACAAGATTTATATTCCATACTCGGACGCAAACCATCCCAAGTGACACGAGTTGACCTGAAACGTAATGTGTTGATGATAGACCAACTAGATGCCGAGTTTATCATTTACTTAAGGTGTTTGACACTCTTCATAGATTATTTAGCACGATTTGATAAATAAATTTTGGCACGATAACTATATGTATGAATTTAACCTACTTAAAATAAAACTCATCATTCTCAAATATAATATTTCCAATAAAATTAGGGGCCACCCAGTCCCTCCAGTACTAGCAGATAAGCAACACTTTCCAACTTTCAGGAGAACAAACAAAGGTAGTACATATATTTAGAGTGAGCCCATCTAAACAGTATAACATTGTACAAAAGAAATATCTATCCACAGATAAAGATGTGCCAAAACGATACCTACACGCTCGACTCAAAAGAAAAAGACAAATTGAATTAATCTACTTTCTAAATATCACGTCCTCATTGCGTCCTGTTCAATATTTTTAAGAATTATGGTGCCCCAATAGCATTCAGTGTTGTATCCATTTAGTAGTGCCTATTTCAGCACAATGTAGGTACAAATTTTCAGAAATTGTTTAGTGTGGTTTGAGTTACTATCAATCATTACCCTAATCCATCCAACAGTGTCACACATTCTACATGACATTTTCACTAACTCACAGGCAAACATTAAGCAAGCATCGTTTACTCCCATTGCTGCAAGAATCGATTATCAAAGTGATGTAGGATGCAATGAACAAAGAATAAGATTGAGAAAGAAAGAAAGAGGAAGAGAGAGGAGAAAGAGAAGAAGAGGAGAGAAAATAGAGAATTTAGGGGGAGAATATCAAGTTTATTTCATATCAAAGTTGTCTCTATTACAATGCATAAGTCCCCTTTAAATAGGGTTTTAATTAATCCTAATAGAAGTAGGAAATCCAAGAAATCTATTAAATCAAACCCAAATCATGTTTCCTAAAATAAGTGTCCAGTTTGGAAAGTAAACTAAATACTATCTCTACTAAGATTCCCATCACAAAGTGTAGCAACCATGTTGAATACCATAATATATTATTGAATCATCTCTTATTTGGCAATCACGTTTAAATATAAAATGCGTAAATAGAAACAAATGAATGATACCTGATGCTTTTCTTTCCATCTGGGGAAAAAACTATTGCCTAGAAGTTGGAACAGGTGGTCTCTCATCTCATCATTTGTCACCAGCAAACACTTGGAGCTAACAGCAGCATACAACCAATACCTGGGGAAATGGAAAGGAAAAACATAGGTTGCATAGTTTGACTGTGATTCACACTTTGACATATGACCAACAAAGAGGAGCAAGGGACAAAAGATGTCAAAGGGACCGTGAGAAAAAAGATGGAGAAATTCAAAGGCATGATATATTTAAGCATTTAAGGGGAAAAAAAAAATAAAAATAAAAAATTTCCAAGTAGGTGATTGAATAAAGTACCAATCATCATTCGAACCAGGAGGGGTGACATAAAGTGCCCCAGCCTTCTTCCAACTTTCCAACAACTTCTTGTTGTTAGGGTGCTGTGCAGGACCACCAGTTACACGACCTTTATGCAGAATAACAAGAGGTAGCTTTCCTGACGGACTCAGTTTACGCAAGTGATACATAACATGTTTGAGCTACAAAAGAAAGGAACCAATAAAAATTTCTTGTACACTTGTAAGTTCAAAGATCACCAAATATACAGTAATCTTAACTTTAATCTTAGTTTCACTTCTGCCTTTCTTTGATTTCGATTTCATCCCTATCTACCCTTCCTCATGGGAGCAAAACGAGAGATGCAGGGTGGAAGAGACAGAAAAAAAGAAAGATGTTGAACCACCTCATCTAAAAGTTTAGGCTATTGGCAGGGGACATTTATTTTTTTATATTTAGCCTTCAACTTGGCCTCTAGGCGAGACTTTTTTTCACAGTAAAGCCGAACATGAGCAAAATTTTCATCAAAACTTGCACTTAGGACCTTTGCCTACTCGAACACCATGTTGAACTACTATGTCTAAAAGTTTAAGCGGTAAGAGAGAGCAAACATTTATTTATTTATTTAAATTAAGTGTTCAACGAATTATGGGACAGAATGCCACTCTCAGAACCCAGGGGGGGAGCGAAGTTAACATTACCTGGGAAAAACTGAAATTATGCTGATTAATAAGGCCCACATTAGCACCATCTACTACTGCATCAAATGGACCATGATGTCGAATCCATTCCTGAAAGAGTGCATCAATTGCTTTAGACTGAAAATTTTATTATTATTATTTTTTGGTTATATGAAATGCCTGAAGCACAAAAAGGATATTACGGTGGCCAATAATATATCAATGCATTTTCAATTAATGATGTCATATTTGCAGGCATGACTTCCTATTCTAATGAAACAGTTGTTATAAACAACAATATGCAGGACATGATTTTGATGTCAAAATGATTTTTCTAAAGCTTCAGATTGCAATATCATACATTATCATCGTCCTGCTTTATGCTTGTGGTTCTGTAACATGCAATCCTTTGTTACATCAGTTACAAAGCCTACTAAAACTTGACTGTAATCAATATTCATATCTCCAACTCAAATTCTCAATGATTTTCTTGTCCTTTGTTCCCTTGATATTTCAATAATTGAGCACCATCACAGTTCTTTCCTACAGAAAATGCAGCTGCATATATCAAGCTAGTATGCTTCCATAAATAAATGTCTGCCCACATGCATACACACGCACATACTCCATTTATTACTGAACATTTCAATTTGCCTATCTGGGCATCCAAAAATAGTGTTCACTTCTCAAAAAGAGTAACTGAATCTGCCCTTTACTTCAAAAAAATGGTGTTACGACAGTGAATCTTGGCCATTCGTTTTGATCAGAAAAATTAAATGTCATATCAAAACTCAATTTCCCCAGTCTAGCCTAAAAATATGTGTCTGTTAAACCTTACCATTCAATTATTGAATGAATGCCAAATTTATTTATTGGTACCAAGTGAATGTAAAATGTACGCTATAAATTAGAGGCCGTCTAGAAAGAGTAAAAGACAATAGAATAAGGTATTCAAAGAAACAATTTTAAGCCTTTGGATTGATTGCATGATATGGAAAAAAGTCTCCCGTTCAAATGTCTACCATATGAATTTCTCCTAATTGAAAATGTACCAGTCTTTCCCGCAGCAGATCAAGATGTAACACTCAAGTTTAAGGCCCCGTTTGGCCCCCATTTTCTAGAAATGAAAATGGGTGGAGTAGTGTTTTTTAGAAAAAATGAGTGATTGAAAATGAATAAAAAGTTTTTTATTAACGTGTAATATTATTTTATGAAAGATTGTATGGTTGAAAATAGAAGAGAGAAAAATAGAATGGGGGCCAAACGGGGGCTAAGACATGTCAACTGCCAGAATTTATTTGTCAATAATTAATTTTCAATTCTAGAACAAGACAGAAGAAACAATATTCCTGATTACAAGATTATGACTAACCTGTCAAATGTATTAAAGACAACCCAAATTACACAAGTACAAAGACCTAATTTTTATACACATGTACACATAAAAATCATCCTTAATAACAGTAAACAATGAACAAGTTCCATACCTGAAATTGCCAAAAGCCAGCTTTAGCTTCTCTTTCGCTAGCCAATTTTGCTAAAGAATTTGCAAAATTCTGTGTCTCCATGGGATCAATATCTATACAAACAAGCTTCTCTCTGCACAATTGGCAGACCCCAGTCTCATACATCTGGGTCCTCATCACTCTCCATTTCCCTTTCCCCAACCATCCTTGCCCATGCCATCCACCCCCTCCCTTCACAATTCCTTCCTTCACCTCTTCTACATTCCAATTCTCCATTCCAACCTCCGCCGCCCTATCTGACCTAAACCAATCCTCCACTATACTGGCCGTCTCCTCAGACACCTGCCTCACAGTGGCTCTCAACCTATGAATCATCTCATACACTTTCTCCTCCCTCTTGACACCAGAACTAACCCTCAAAAGTGCTGAAAGCTCAGGCTCTTCGGCTGAGACCTTGTTATCCACCATATGGGTATCCACCTCATATGCTTTATCAGCCATTGCCTTCTCACAAAACTCAAACAATGCCGGCCCATAGGACCTCAACTTTGGAATTATTCCATGATTCTTCATTTCCTTAACCAACTCAAAAGCCATTTCTGGGTCCTTCTTAGCTGCTGCTAATCTTGAAGCATTGGTAAATGTAGCCTCATTTGGAATCACTTTATCCAACCGCATCTGTTTAAAAATCTCAAAGCCCTTTTCCAAACCTACAAAATTATCTACATCCTGCCCACTGCCATCATTATTTGGTGAACATAAATAAAGCAAAACATTATAATGATGTACATTGAGTTGAATATTACTTGCCCTCGCCTCATTGTAAAGGCGAATGGCCTCGGAAAAGTCACCATGTTTTGAGCACTGGTCGAGCTTGTGGCGAAGTACACTTTCTGGGGCCTCATATTGGGCTTTTTTCTTTGATTTTTTAGGGACTGAATTTGTGGGATTTTGAAGGAGAGATGCTGAGGTGGACAGTCGGGTTGTCATTTGGGTAATGGAAAGAGGCCTCCTGTGTTGGCTTTTGGCATTATTCTTTACGAGGTAATGGTAGTGGTGGAGGTATGAAAATGATTTACAACAGAGAAACAGTGATTTAGAGTTTTTGGAGAAGAGGGGGAAAAGAGGCGAGGTTTTAGGACAAAGATAAGCCACATGAAAGAGCATCCCTGGTGGAAGGGGAGAATTTTTAGTTTTACTACTCGCTGCAACTCACAATGTAATGCTACTCCCACGCAATTCGTTTATAAATTGACATGACAGCCTTGTTGTAAATGGTCCCTGCAAAATTCAAGGCAAAGAGTTGGCATCTGTGCAATATTTATAAAAGGTTTAGGTAAGATTCTTCAGTACAAAAGCAGACTGTGGAACGTAAGCATTTCAACACAGAAGATATTGAGTTCAAACCCACAAAGAAAATAATTTATTAGTAAAATTCACTTGTACAATTTTAATTGGTCAACATAAAGACACAAATTCCTCACCCAAATTTAATTCTATCAAAGCAAACTCCACAGCACTAAGCCCCTGTTTGAGCCAAATGCTTTAAAACTCATTTTCAACCACTCATTCTTCCAAAAAAATAATTTTGCTCGTAAATTCAAAACTTTCCCAAACTTTTTAACATACATTCTCCAAATATCACTATCTCAAAAAATCTATACCAAACATGCCCTAAATCTCTCACTGCCCAAATACACTGTCTGTCCATCCACAATATCTATCCACTCAAACATAGAATACATGAACCAAAATCTCATATTTGTAGGTGGTGAAGTCGGTTATCGCCCAGCTTAATTATTCTAGACATTACTACTATGTATGGGCTTATGTATTAAAGACAAGTAACACAAAATGATGGTGGACTAATGGCTGGAAAATTCTAGGTAATGAGAAATGTCCAAAAACAATAAGAGAGACGAGATGCTGGAAAAATGGAAGGAAGAGATCTAGAAGGGCTTATACAGCGAGCCAGGGAGTTCAAGAAAGAGTATAACAACTCTTTGCATCGGTAGAGCATTTAGTACTAGACTTTGCACAAGATAATCAGTTCAGGGTGTTTAAGATTTCAAATTTCTCAAAAAACTCTGAACAAATTTATTCAATTCATAAGGGGACACCAAACAGTTATAGACCAAGATATTGAGGGGAAGTACGAAGCACTAGAAAAACATGGAAAGGATCTAACAACGATGGCAAGAGCAGGGAAGCTGGACTCATTTATAAGAAAAAAACAAAATACATAGATGCATTCAGACTCATTCCAGAAGAACAAAGAAAAATTATGTTCTAATTGGTGAGCCAGGGGTCAGAAAATCAGCAATCTCTGAAGGGCAGAGGATTGTCCAAGGTGATGTCCCCCAGGCTTTAATGAAAACTAGGCTGATATCTCTCGACATGGGTGCAAACATAGCTGGTGCAAAATATCATGGAGAATTTGAAGATTAAATGCCTGATTTGAATGGCCAAATAATCCTTTTTATTGATGAGATCCACACAGTGGTTGTCACAGGTGCGACCAACAGTGCAGTGGAAGCAGGCAAATTCTTGAAGCCTATGCTGGTGGAGAACTAAGATGCATTTGTGCATCCACTCTGGAGGAGTATCATACATATAATAAGAAAGATCTGGCCCTCAAGAGCCGGTTCCAGCAAGTTTATGTTGATCAACCTTCAGTGGAAGATACCATCTCTATTCTCCGTGGACTGCGTGAAAGGTATGAGCTGCTGGAGTCCGCATTTCAGACAGCGCCCTCGTTGGAGCTGCAATTCTATCATACCTCTAGTCTCTAGATCAGTGGACATTTCGTACCTGACAAAGCTGTTGACCTTGTTGACAAAGCAGCAGCTAAACTGAAAATGGAGATTACTTCAAAACCAACTACCATTGATGAAATTAACTATGCTATTCTGGAACTTGAGACAGAAAGGCTATCTCTTACCAATTACTCTGATTAAGCATCAAAAGATAGGCTAAATCGCCTTGAAGCAGAGACAAGATGAGCTGAATGAGCAGTGAGAGCATGAAGTTATGACATGCATACAATCTATCAAGGAAGAGATTGATAGAGTAAATGAAGTGAACTAGCAAGCTGAGGAGCATAGTCTCAACCGTGCTGCTGAATTGGAGCAAGGGAACTCAAACTTTCTGCAGTGTCAATTTGAAATTGCAGAAGTCTGGAAAGTCCTTGCTTAGAGAAGAAGTTACTGGAAGCGATATTGCTGAAATTGTTAGTAAATGGAAAGGCGTTCCTGTTTTGAAACTACAACAACCAGAGAGGGAGAACCACGACATTGACAATAACATCTTTGCTCCCTTGAATCCCCATTTTTGGGATATTGATTTAGGCGAGGAGTATGATGACCCGCTATTTTTGCCCCAAAGGTTGACAAGGATGTTCAAAAGATTATATTGAGGAAAAGACAATGATTTTAGATACCGGTAGTGCGCCCACCATTCAGATCGAGAATGAGCAGCTACCAACTATTACTAAACAATTTGGTGATTTAGAGATAATAGTCATAATTGTGAGGCATGAGCTTACATTGCATAATTCGAGGATGAATATTGCTCGATCCAAAGAGAATGATGTCATTGGATATGTTGACCCAATAAATCCATGTCGTAATTAGATGAATAATCACTTTTTTAGTCAAAAATGAGCCATTAAGCCAAACTTATTGGCTAAAGCATGAACAGTTTTCCAACACAGTTACAAAAACATGGCAGTCGATGAGTAGTCAAAGAAGGGTTTCAACGGTGATGATAGTCCTTTTGATACTTTAAGTCCCAAGAAACAAATGATTGTTGATTTGCGTGAAGAATACGACGGTCCACTGGTTCTTTAAATGGAGGTCGACAAAGTTAATTGGAAAAGCATGTAGAGAAAGAGATAGCGACAACAATATCACATCGATTTTGAAAGAGTTATCGTTTCGACAATTATCAAAACCCTAGATGTAATGAAGTTAATCTCTTCCTGGCTGATTATAGAATGGTTGTTTATTTGTGTCGTTAGGTTATTAAAAGATTCATTGAATATGGAGCTATTTCAATAATTTGAAAGATTTTCAACGGGAAATTTCCCCACCTGTCATGGATTGTGCTCAATCCCAATATTTTGGCAATAAAAGATTGCATAGGGACCACTATTTTGAATACTGTGAAACAAAATGCTATGGAAGTCCAGAAATGGAGACGGTCGATGCGCAAAATGTGCCAGACTTACCAAATGCACTACCATCGTTAGAAGGTATCAGTTGAACATTAGGGACAAATCTTATCTAAATGAAGGATAATAATATAGTGAGAATATCTGTCTTCCGAATCAAATATTTTATTCTCTTGATTGTAATATTTTTATCTTGTTTTATATTCTTTAATTTATCAAGAGTGTTTGCATCCTTAATTAGATTTTAGGGTTTTTATGTCTTAGAATTACTAATTAAACACTTTATAGGTTGTTATATTTGGTTGAATTTGATTATTTAATAAAATTGTAAAATTGTAAGGTTTCTCATATTATTGTTGAATTTTGGCATTCTTTATGAAGAATCAATGATCTTTGACTCCCTAAACATCCAGAATTCGTAGAATCAACAGATCTTAAGTGTGCGTTGAACCCGCCTTGCTTCACTCTGCATCAGATCCCCAGTCCTGTTACTAGCTTCATGTTCATCGTTCCTAGTGTTCGAAAGACAGCTTGCAAAAGCAATTCCTTCTTACATGTTCAATGCCGAAGAAGCTCTTGTATGGATTGATAACTCGTTGGAAGAGAATACTAGTAAGATAATAATAAGAAAGTTTTCCTTCTAAATCTCCATAAAGCAAGTACATGGAAAAACATGCAGTTTCACGGTTGATTGGAGCCCCCAAGTTACATTGGATATGAAGGAGGAGGGCAGTTAAAATGATTTTTCGAAGGAGGCCGTAAGCAGTTATTTTGTTTGATGTGATAGAAAAGGCTCGTTCCGGTGTTTTTAAAGTGTTCCATCAAATGGCTAATAAGCTTTTTGCTAGTAAATTCCCCTGTCTGGACCTAACAAGAGGATTCGTGTCTTCCAGTAACTGGCTCAATAGGGTCGTATCATGAATCACCAACACTGTTATCATTATGACATCAAATGTGCGTTCACAACAAAGATGATGATATCTTGCCAAAGCAAATGGCTTATGAGACTATAATGCAGAGGGTAATGAAGGCTGCAAGATCAATTTTCCATCCTGAATTCATGAACCGTGTTGATGAATGCATAGTATTCCAGCCTCTTGCTGTCAGGTTACAGTTGGTAGAAGTACAAAAGAAGAGAGCTGATCGGAAGATGAAGATTTATGCAAGCAATTTAGTAGTTGAATTCCTAGGTTATGGTGCCAGACCAGTGAAGCCTGTGATTCAACAATATGTTGAAAGAGCTGGCCAAGGGAATCATGAGAGGAGACTTTAAGGATGAGGATACAATGTTGACAGATGTCAAAGTCATTGCATTTGGAAACAGTCAGCTTCCACAACAGAAGCTAGTCTTAGAAAATTAGAGTCTGGTTCAGATACATCCTATGAAAACCGAGAAGCTTTCTCTCAGTCTCTATGAGGAATTGACACATCTCTTCTATGTAGTGACAGGAAACAATTACTACATATCAAGAGAAAACAGTGTGAAAAATAATTAAGAAAACTAATAACCCTTTGAATGTCAAAAACCATTACTACATATCATTAACGATTCCCCAATTCGGTCCAATTTAGCTAAAAATATAGATAAAGAATTAAGTAAAAATCAGCAATTAATTTCAACCACGTATTTTATGGATTCACAATTCTTTTTAAAATTTTCACCATTCATGTCATCTACTTTTATCGAAATCTACTTAGATACGATTTTTAGCATTTTCCAAAAGGGGTCATTGAAAGGTTTTGCAGTCGACTGAGTTCACCAGAAAAATTCATCACACGCAAGGATATACACTGGGAGCTTTAATCAAACAAGTGGTGAGCATGAAACAGCTAAAGATATCATAAACTATCAAAACTTGGTAAGGTTATGTAACACGTCGAAAACATGACATGAAACAGAAACGAAAATTCCAGGCTAGATTCACCAATAAACAAATTATTAATCACCATGAAAGGAAAGAGGATATTAATAGAAAATCACCTTGAAACTTTGTTGCAACAAGAGCTGCAGTCAAATGAGGGTTCAAAAAAGCTTTGCTTTCTGCACACAGCACAGAATCAGGACATATTAAAGATTTATCCAGAGCACCCTGCTGGAATGGGAATTAAGAATGCTTGAAAGATTAACGTAGATAGACAAGTTTGCACGTTTTCAAGTGCAAGAAAAAAATTGCTTTAGAATTGTCTTCTAGGGAATGAAAGAAGAAAAGAAACTCAAAAGATTGATAATAAGTAATTGGGAATTGCTTATTTGTTCTGCTCTGTAAATCCAAACCGATGTGTTTTCGTTTTCCTTATCTGAATAATCGTTTCCGCTTGTTTAGGCATTTTTTTTTCTTTTATGAAAATTTGTGGTTAAAATGTACGAAATTATGTCTTACTTACAAATTTGACACGTTTATTTAATAAGTAATCTTTAATTTAAGTCAATAAAATTCAATATACATTTCATTAAGATCATGAAAGATAGTGTTTTAAGGAGATTCAATAGATATTGAGCATATTGTATTTACTCAAATTAAATGTCATAACTATTTCTTAAATAAATATATCAAATTTCTCTGCAGGAGAAATCGTTTCGTAAAAAGTATTATAAATTATGGAAAATTGATTTTTGTAAAGTATATGATTGAAAATAAGTACGAGGGAGAAGTAATTTTCAAGAACCAAAATCTTGTTTGAGCACAATTCTCATCAAAAAATGTATTTTTGAATACTGTATTGATAAAAATTGTGTAGTTAACAAATAAAGAAAATTCCCGAAATTGCATATAATATTATTTTATTTAAAAATTTGTGGTCAAATAAGTGTTGAAGAATGTATTGTGATGAAAAATGAGACTCAAACAAGGGCAAATAAAAACTAAGGATGCAGTTGGTTAGCAGTTTTTAGTTTTTAATTTTGTGTCAGTTTGACACCCATTAATTTATTTTATGGCTTATTATAAAATCATTTTCAACTATACATTCACAAAATAAAATATTCTACACATATACTAAAAAAAAAAAATTCCTTTACTTTTTACCACAAATTCTCTTAAAAATACTATTCAAAACTTTTTTTTCCTCCATTAATGATAATCAAACAAGCTCTTTGTAAAATTTTGAAAATGTGTTTGATCTGATATTTTTGAAAATGAATTTCGAAAATAGGATTAAACTTTTAATATAAAAAATGTACTGTTGACATTTTGAGCATTATGAAAAGTTCGAAAACACTCAAAACGTAGAAAACAAGTGCTTAAAAGAAATTTATTTAAGAATTTTAACAAATAAAATCTTAAATTTAAAAAAAAAATTGAAAAAATAAAAACTAAATTTTAAAAAAAAAAATTTAATTCTAACAAAATAAAAATTTGAAAAACTAAAATTATAAAAATATATAGAAAATTAAAAATTCTATAAACAAAAATAATTTAAGATTTTAATGATTATTTATATAAAAAAATATCAGTCTACTTCATTTAGTTTTATTTTTATTTCCTATATTTTGAACTCAATTTATTAATTAATTTTATTTTACTTTTTTAACGAGAAGAGAATATAATATGAGTCATCGACTTTAAAATGTATATATTATTTGATAATATATTAATAAAAAATTAATTTATTTTTACTGAGTAATCGAATTTAATGAAATAAAAATCTCACAAAACAATTTTTTCAAAATTTCAAATCAAACATATTTTCTGTTTTAAGAAATATTTTTTTAGAAATGATGAACCTAACGTGTTTTTAACAATCTTAAAATAAAACCTCTTAAAACAAAAAAATAAAATGAACTCAAAACTCAAAATTAAAACACAAATCAAACGTGCACTAAATTTTTTGGAGTTTTCAAAGTGGGGATGGTAAAATCCCCCCTCCCACCCCTGTCGTCGGATGTGATTCCGAATAGGATGGAAATTTTGTGATTTTAAATTTAAATCATATTTAAAAATTGAAAATTAATAAGTAAAGGAATGGGAAATGGAGATATCAGTTTCTGTCCCACCTTCTAAAAATTTCGATGGAGTGGGGGACAGGAGGAAAGTCTCGTTGCCATCCATGTTTCCGAACCAGATTAACGTATATGGTAAAATGAAATTCATGGATTGATGTAATCCACAAATTCAGCTCATGATATTTAGGAGAACAACTTCAATGGACAGTCGCATCGAATGGGAGCCACCACCTTATCGGATGCCACCCTACCACCTCATCGGGTGAGGACCCAAGAGATGGTGGCTTCTCATTCGACGGTTGCACCATGTAGAACGGTGCGATCGTTCCATCAAAGTTTTTCTTGTTATTTAGGCAACTGTTTAAAAATGTGTTGGATGGCCTGACTCCACAAATTCATTCTTTATTTTTGCTTATTTCCCCCAACATTTTGGATTAAAATCCTTCACTAATAAGTAAAACCATATAATCCCAAAGTACCTCGTGGACTCTAAACTTGTAGAACAAGAGTGAACAATGATATACATGATTAAAGAAGAAATATGTGTAAAATATTATCCTCATATTTCATCCGTTTCTTCCTAATTTAGCATAAAATCATATTTGAAGGCAGTTTATGTGCAACATTAGAGCATTTTTAAGAAACTCTTTATTTTTAAAGAGCAATTGATTATAATAAAAATAATTTATACATTTCAATGATTGTTAAGCGTTGAAACTTGCTATATTATTAAATGCATGATTTGTAAAAATAGAGATCGAGTTGAACTCTTGTATTTGGGTAATTGGCACAAAACGTCCTTACCTTTCAAGTCTATTGTGGAAAACGTCCCTACCTTTCATTTTTTGGCATTTTTGCCCTCATTTCAACATTTCTTTGCACTGGACGTCCTTCCGTCCATATTCCGTCAGTTTTTCCGTTAATTAAAGGGTAATTGGCACAAAACGTCCCTACCTTTCAAGTCTATTGTGGAAAACGTTCCTATCTTTCATTTTTTGACATTTTTGCCCTCATTTCAACCTTTCTTTGCGCTGGACGTCCTTCCGTCCATATTCCTTCAGTTTTTCCGTTAATTAAATACAAAAATACTTTTTTCTTTCCATAAACAAGGGTAAAATTGTCCTCACCCACTTCACCCCTTTTTCCCACCATCAACTTAGTCCATAAGTAACAGTAGCAGCAACATGAATTTGAAAATACTTTAAATGATTAAGTTAAATAAAGAAAAAATATCGTGAGCACATTATATTTCACAATTCCACAACTACTGTTGTTATCATCTTGTGTCACTGAAAAATTTTAGAAAGACATATTAAATGGGTAGTCAATTTATAATGAGCCAAAATGGTGAATGGCTCTTTTTGGCTCAATGAAGAAGATGAATGGCTCATTTTAAATTGACTCATTATAAATTGACTACCCATTTAATATGTCTTTCTAAATTTTTCCAGTGACACAAGATGACAGCAACAGTAGTTGTGGAATTGTGAAATATAATGTGTTCACGATTATTTAACTTAATCATTTAAAGTATTTTCAGATTCATGTTGCTGCTACTGTTACTTATGGACTAAGTTGATGGCAAGAAAAAGGGGTGAAGTGGGTGAGGACAATTTTACCCTTGTTTATGGAAAGAAAAAGATATTTTTGTATTTAATTAACGAAAAAACTGACGAAATATGGACGGAAGGACGTCCACCGCAAAGAAAGGTTGAAATGAGGGCAAAAATGCCAAAAAATGAAAGGTAGGGACGTTTTCCACAATAGACTTGAAAGGTAGGGACGTTTTGTGCCAATTAACTGAATGTTTAACGGAAAAACTGACGAAATATGGACGGAAGGACGTCCAGCGCAAAGAAAGGTTGAAATGAGGGCAAAAATGCCAAAAAATGAAAGGTAGGGACGTTTTCCACAATAGACTTGAGAGGTAAAGACGTTTTGTGCCAATTACCCCTTGTATTTGATCATTATTGCTTTTAATAAAATTGAAAGTCTAAATTCTTTAGATCTATCACCAATCACAAAATTCAAAACCATTGCCATCATCACAGTTACCTATGCTGTCGAGGAAATAGAAGATTTTTTTTTCTTTTTGTATAGACTGTGGAAGAAGATAGAACGGTGGGTTCCAAACTTTTGTGATAGTGATGGTGGTGGTGGTTATGATTGACAATGGCGGAAACCAAGAGAGAGAGTCTAGAGACGAGGACTAGAGAAATGGTGGTGGTGGATTTATATCTGAGAGGAAATGGTGGTCAAAGGCACCGGTGGAATCAGCACCTAACGAGCATCAACGATCGCTTGTACTAGATTCGTTGGGAATTTTTTTTCCTTATATTGAGTGACCGCTCGACGGCTCTCTCTCTGCTTGTGCTCAATATTCATCCTAGAAGGTATCAACATAAATTTCACCCTAGCACAATGCATAAAATAATTTTTAAGTGCAAATGCTAGTAGCATCCTCAAAGGCCAAACAACTCTCTTGGAGCAGAGAACCATCTTGAGAATTATAAACTAGAGGTGTAAGCGGTCGGATTTTACCGATTTTTGACAGACTTTCAAACAAAATCGGTTTGAGAAAAACTCAAATCTAAACCAAATCATTTTAAACGGTTTGAAAAAAAAAACTCAAACCTAAACCTAACGGTTTGGTCCAGTTTTAAATCGCCGGTTACACCGTATATTTTTTTGCTTGTCTACTTTTACGTCATTAATTCATTGAAACTATTTTAAATGGTTTGAAAAAAAAACTCAGACCTAAATCAAACGGTTTGGTCTGATTTTAAATCGCCGATTTCACCGTATATTTTTTTGCTTGTCTACTTTTACGGCATTAATTCATTGAAACTATTTTAAATGGTTTGAAAAAAAACTCAAACCTAAATCTAACGATTTGGTCCGATTTTAAATCATCGGTTTCACCGTATATTTTTTTGCTTGTCTACTTTTACGGCATTAATTCATTGAATTCAATATAATACATATCTCACTAGCAATAGATCTAAAACAAACTAAATACATGTACTATAAATTTAAATACCAACTAAATCAAAGTAAAATTACAATAAACTAAAACATAATTTTTTGTCCGCCATTTTTAGGCTAAAGGCGTTACGATAACAGTACAATAAAAGTCTACTAAACTAAATATAAGGCCAAAAGTATTAATGATGTCCAACAAGTCGTGTCATCATATCTACAAGAAAAAATGTGACTGATTAGACAGAGAAAATAATCGACTACAATAAAAAGCAATTGTTTATAATATCTAAACATAACAATTACACAAGCTTACGGTTGTATGTTCTCACGAACTCAATTTCTCGCATATACTCATACATCAATTGTTGTCACACATGATTCATTGTCTGCATGGTCAAACAAATGCATTCATTACATCATCGTAGTAT